TTTATCATTAGGAAATGAAAGTGTAATGTTTATGCCCAGCTGGTGTGGCTCAGTGGTTGAACATTAACCTATGAACTAGGAGGTCACAGTACAATTCCTGGTCAGGGCATATGTCCAGGTTGTGGGTTCGATGAAGGAGGCAGCTGATGAATGATGTTCTGTCATCATTGATGTTTCTAATTCTCTCCCTTTCCTTCTCTCTCTGAATCAATAAAAAATATTTTTTTAAAAAAAAGAAAGTGTAATGTTTATGATTCATAATACTTTTTGCCTTTAAGTTTCCCTGTTATTTTTTCCAGAGTAGCAAATTCCTCAGGGAAAAAGTGGTTGTGAGTGGCAGGCTCTTCCTTTTCACCTCAGGCCAAATAATACCTCATCCTAAGAGGTTTATTTTTCTATATTTATTTTAAAGTTTTTTCAGCATCTTAATTATTTTCAGCAGAATAGTAGGTCTGCATTCTTTTGCTGGTTCTTTGTTTTCTGAATTTTTGTTAACCTGTCTTTTGATTTCTAACAAATTCTCTATGGCAGTGTTTCCCAAACTTCTCACATGATGAGAATCACCTGGTGGAGTTGTTAAAATACAGATTCCTGAATCCCAGCTAAGAAGTGCTAAACTAGAATTTTGGAGAACATATAGGTAAAATTGTATACTTAACTTGGTGCTCTGTCCTTGAATCTGTAATTTAACAACTCCACCAGGTGATTCTCATCGTGAGAGAGGTTTGGGAAACACTGCTCTATGGTTTTATTTGGATTTGCTTTGTAGACCGTTAGTTTCAGGAGTTCCTTAGCCCTTTCCAGCTTTTATGCCTATAATTATTTGTCTTATTTTATCACGCTACTAAAGTCTAATGCAATGTTAACTAGAAGGACTAATGTTGGGAAATCTTGTTTTGTCCCCGACTTTAAAGCAAATCCTTCTAAGAATTTTACTCTTAAGAGTAATTCCTGGCTTGGTGGAACCAGAGGTTTACTGGTTGATTCCCGGTCAGGCACATGCCTGGGTGCAGGCTCAGTACCCCGTAGGGGGCGTGCAGGAGGCAACCGATCGATGATTCTCTCATCACTGATGTTTCTCTCTCTCTCTCTCTCTCTCTCTCTCTCTCTCTCTCTCTCTCTCTCTCTCTCTCTCTCAAGTAAATAAATAAATAAATAATTGCTGTAGATTTTTACTAGATACCTTTAGCTGTTTCAAGGAAGTTCTTGTCCATTTCTACCTTTTTGAAAGGCTTTTTTCTTTAATATTGTTGAATTTGTTTTACTAGTATTAATGTCAAATGTTCAAATAAAGATCTCAGCTAATATATTTAATATTTCTTTCAATATTAACTGCATTGAATGCTTTTTATGCATCAATTGAGAAGATACCATGCTTTCTTCCTAGAATCTACACTAATAAATGAGAAAGATGAAAATTGTCTGTACCTTTGCAAGGCCACCAGACAATCTGGAGTGAGTATGCAAACCAACCAACAAAGATGGTGGGTTAATTTGCATATGCAAGCGTTGAATGGCTGGAGATGGGGCAGGACACAGGCATCCTGCCCCTCCCCAGCAACTCTGGGCCTCTGGGCAGCGTGGGAAGGCCAAAAGGCAGCTTCGGGCCGGAGGAAAGGCAGAAAGGTGGCTCTGGGCCGGAGTGAAGGTGGAGCCGGCAGCCAGGGGAAGAAAGGCCCATGCTGCACGAATCTTCATGCATCAGGGCTCTAGTAAAGGAATAATAAAATAATGTGTGGTGACTTACTAGAATTACTGATTTTTTAAGAATGTTTTTATTCATATTAGAGAGGGAGAGGGAGAGAGAAACATAGATGTGAGAGAGTAACACTGATATGCTGTCTCCCATACTCATTGAGACTCAGGGTGGAACCCAAAAGCTGGGCATATGCCTGACCAGGAATCAACTGGTAGTGACCTTTTGGTGCACAGGCCAATGCTCAACAACAACCACACCAGCCAGGGCTAGTTACTGATTTTTCTCATGTTAATTTACCATTGCATTCCCATGATAGATCCAGTTTTGGACATCTTGTATTCTCTTTTTATAAATTGCTGCACCCAATTTGCTAAAATTAAAGGAATTTTGTGTCTATGCTTGAGTGGAATAACTCTACAATTTTCTTTTCCCTGTTACCCTTGTATCCATTGTATAGACTTCAGACATGAGACACGTCTCGCTTTTTTTCAGTGCTCTAGAAGAGTTTATGATTGGAATTATTTCTTGAAAATTTAGTGGTTACTTTCAAAACGTTAGTGGAAGTAACTTTGTGTTATGTTAGAGAATTTTTTTCAATACTGAAAATTTTCCATTTCATTTTGTGTCAGTCTTTAATTCATTTTATTTTTCCAGTAAATCCATTAGCATTTATTTATTCAGAGTATTCAGCTAATGTCTTGAGGTCTGTCTCTGTACTTACGTATTTAATTTAAAAAATTATACTTTATTTCTTCCTTCTTAGTCAGTGTTCCCAAAGTTAATCTTGACTAAAGAATCAATTTTTTGCCGAATTATTTTGTTTGTTACCTTCTTTCTACTTGTCAAAGGTTTATTCTGTAACTCTTGATCTACCTTTAAAATGGAGTTTGTGCCGGGACCGGTTTGGCTCGATGGATAGAGCATCGGCTTGGGGACTGAAGGGACCCGGGTTCGATTCCGGTCAAGGGCATGTACCTTGGTTGCGGGCATATCCCCAGTAGGGGGTGTGCAAGAGGCAACTGATCGATGACTCTCTCTCATCGATGTTTCTAACTCTCTATCTCTCTCCCTTCCTCTCTGTACAAAATCAATAAAATATATTTAATAAATAAATAAATAAAAATAAAATGGAGTTTGTATTTTAGAATTTTGTCACTTTGGTATTCAAATATAAACATTAAAGGTTAAACATTTCTCCTTAGGTAGTTTTTATATCCCACAATTTTTATACATTTCATTTTTATCATTTAGCTGTAATTCTTTTTAAAAAATTCCATTATTTCTTTAAAAAAAAAATATATGATTTCAGAGAAGAGAGCTAGATATAGAAACATCAACGTCCACTACGGGGGTGAGTGCTGGAGTCGAGGGGGCGGGGGGAGATCGAGCCTGCAACTCAGGCATGTGCAATTGGCCGGAATCAAACCTGGAACCCTTTAGCTCGTAGGCCAACACTCTATCCACTGAGCCAAACACATTATAATTTTTAAAAAAATATGTTTTATTGATTTTTACAGAGAGGGAGAAAGACAGAGAGCTAGAAATGTCGATGAGAAAGAAACATCGACCAGTTGCCTCTTGCACACCCCTACTGGGGATGTGCCCGCAACCAACATACATGCCCCTGACCGGAATCGAACCTGGGACCTTTCAGTCCACAGACCGCCGCTCTACCACTGAGCCAAACCGGCTTCGGAGCATTATAATTTCTTTAACCCACGATTTACCAGAAGATGTTTTAAAATTTCTAAACGTAATGGACCTTTTCATCTAATTTTTGTTGTCTCTTAAATGAATTGTGCTGGTTTTTCTGTGGTTAGAGCATCAACCCACAACCTGCAAGACCTCAGGTTGGAGGCCCAGTCAAGGGCACGTACCTCATTTGCAGGCTCAATCCCTGGCCCTGGATGGGGCTCAAACAAGCAGCAGCCAATCATCGCGTCTCATGTCCATTTCTCTCTCACCCCTATTCCCCTCCTTTCTACTTTCTCTAAAACCAATGGGAGAAAAATCTCTCTTCCTCTGACTAGTTTCACCTGTTCTACAATTTTTATCAGCTGATTCATGTGATGTTTTTACTTTGCTTGTTCCACGCCGTTGAGAGCCCATTCCTAATTACTGCTAAGTAGCCTTCTATTGCATACATGTATCACAATTTGTTTATCCCATTGCCTGTTGGTAGATGAGACTTGGGTTGTTTCCAGTGTTTGGCTATTGTTAATGGCTATAAACAATTTTCCACAAGTTTTTCAGTTGAATGTTTTAGTTTCTCCTAGGTAAAATGGAAATGTAAACTAAACTCAATGGACTCAGCAATATGAAAGGCATTCTTCCAAGTAGTCACAGTTTAGAATAGGGGTGTCCAACTCAATCAGAGAAGGGGCCAAAATCTAAAATCCAGCCTAAATCGTGGGCCGAATGGTTTACTGAACAGTCATAAACTGTCATTGTGATGGAAACGCAGCGGAGTGCAGTGATGACAGCGCGGTGCGGGCCACATTGCAAGGCCTGGCGGGACGGATTTGGCCCGAGGGCCTTGTGTTTGACACATGTGGTTTAGAACATTAAAAATTCCCAACAGAGTAAAAGCAGAACTGTTTGCTGAAAGCTACCATTTACCATTCTCAGTTGGGAACCTCATGCTAATGCCTCACATGCAGTTTTACTTCATTCACAACCCGAGGCCACACCACGCATTTCCATTGTCTGGTGCGTACACAGGATAACAGTTCAGGAATTCGCTCAGCCAGTAGAACAGGCAGCACTAATACTTGAAATGTCTGTATGCGATTTACGTCTTTTTATATTCAGAGCTTGCCCCCTTAAACATGGCTGTACACTGCTGACATAAGAGGGGAGCAGATAACTCCCAGGAGAGGCCTTCCGACCCAGGTTTGAAGTTAACGAGGTGAGGAGAGGAGAGGCTGAGGCCTCCACTTGTAGTAAAAATGCAGAAAACTAAGGGCTGACAACTAAGAGGCTGAAAAAACTGAAAAGCAGCTATAAAAACTCAAACAAAAAAGAAGTCTTGGGTCATATTCAGAGGCAAAAAGACTAAAGCAAATAAATAAGCATACCAAGGACCCAGCAAATGCAGCCCAGTTGCTGAGTTGGCATTACATTCAGATGAGTATTATTAAACACACGGAGAAGTACATAATGCTTAGCAAACATCGGTTGTAAAATTTTTGTGTGTACGTTGAAAATGTGGAATTCAAGTGAGATATTAGGCAGCAACATCAAGCCCGTAAAGACTTCTTCCTCTAAAACAGTTCAATAGATTTATGTTAAAGACAACATGTGTATTGAAAGTAGCAATTTTATTTGAGTTAAAATTATTTACAAAAAACCCAAAGACATACTTCATGAAACTGGTACAAACTATTTTTTCCTGCCGTTGGCTTTTGCTCCAAAGATCACAGCTGAGAAATACTGTATAAAATAAGATTGGATTCAGAAAAGTATTCTACTGTTCTAATTTCCAACTGGTAGTATTTACAGAGATATTTACAATGGAAAAAAAGGTTACTTTAAAACTTTAATTTGTAAGTCAGCCTCAAGTACCCTAAAATGCAGAGTTCTCTGAGGGTTAAACACACAAATTCGCTGCAGCTGGTGAGGTGATGTCTCCCCCACCCCCCACCAAAATCTGCATTTATCAGTGCTTGACAATTAGTTATTATTTAAATAACAAAACAAAAAACTGTTAAACACCGAGGTAAATCAATTCTCAGATGATTACCAGTGTAACAGAAAAATGTAGTTCGCCCTGATTGTTCTCATTCAAATGTTTTGTATTTCTTACCACCTGCCAGTCAGCTTTACCAAAAAATCTGTTCCTTTTCCTAAATCAATGATTAATAAATATCAATGTATTTTAAAATAATTAAACAAAATATATCTAATTCCATTTTCTGGGTATCATTTCCTGATATGCCTTTAAAATAGTTTGCTAAGCTAGCTTCTGTACTCAGTCAGGGCAAGTACAACCTGTCTTTCCCAAGTTACACTGGCACACTATGCTCTCAGGTGATGGGTGGGGTCAGGGTAGGTAGGAGGGAGAAAACAATTTGTCCAGAACCAGTTACTTATAGATTTCCCAACAATCTGCATTATCAAAAATAGGAAGACATTAGAAGGCAGCCACTGCATTAAAAACATTACAGCTGGCACTGATACAAGAGCCCCGATTTGTCACTTTATACAAGGAAATAACAAAGTCTAAATGACTAAATCTTAGACTTTTAGCTATTTTCCCCAGTACACACCAAACTAATATTTTTATGGCTTCAAGTTTTACAAATCCAATGAAGAAACATGATATGACTACCGGAAAGGTATTTAAAAACATGAATGAAATAGATCTCTAAAAGCCTGTATTCAGGCCTGATCAATTAAAGAAAAAATGTAAAACTGGTGGTCTGAACAATACAAGAAAAATTTGCAGTGTTGTGAAATTAAATGTTTTGTGTGTTCCATGACTGTTTTCCAAACACACTGCTCTGTGAAGTAAGAATCTAAATGGAAAAAAGGGTCTTTTCTACACCAGCAATTTAAGGCTTTGCGTTTATGCATTTGATCCTGTCACTCTATAGAAGAATATACACGTTATCTGGAAACATGAATTCCACATTGGTGTTTTAGCTTCTTATATTTACTGTACTGAGCATTAGAAAATATATCTAGAGAGTTCTCCCTCCAAACTTAAGTGTTTCAGGAGCCTCCCTGACATGAAGCGTAAACTGCCCTGGGTTGTCCATTTTTCTTCAGCCTTTACAGGGCGCATCATCTTAGATAACAGTCCCTTCAACTGTTACTTGTGTCTATAGTTATGACTCACTATGGTATCATAATGAACATGGTCACGATCTGAAAGTGAAAAAGTTTGACAACCTAAATCAAATCAAGAATAAAAAGTATGCTATTAATCCCTTGTGTCTTTGGATTCCATCTAATTTTAAATATAGACAGTAGTTCAGGGAACAACAAGAAAAAATTCACAAAATTATTAAAAGCTTTATTTACGATCGGAATCATTCAACAAAAAAAGCAAAAGCAATGAGCCTGAAAAAGGAACTACGCTGTTGTCTAGAATGTCCTCAGAACATTCGATGCCTCAGTAGCTAAGCTGCCTCTGCACCTGGCTGGCATGACAACAGTGGCTCAACATACACAGCAGTTGCACTAACAGCAGCACAAATTTCCCCCTGAATCTTGCCCAGAGTGAAGCAAGAGAACAGGGGAAGAGTATAAACTCTGCCAAAGGAAGTGTACTTAAATACTGCATGGAATTAGCCTGAACCTTTTCCCTCATTTTTGATAGTTGCAGATTGATGTAGTAACTGTCATTGAGCAAATGCAGAATGCATGACGAAGAAATCAGGAGGCCTTAGAAATCCAACGTGAATGATACTGATGAATGTTCTTGGTATTCTCCAAGGAGATCTGTCTGTCACCACTTCTCTGTCTCAGACCGGCTCCAGCACGGCCGAGCCCCGCAGCAGAGGTAAAGCAGCTAGCAATGTTCCAAGTACTCAATCACTCTAGAGATAGACTTCTGGCCTGTGGTTCCAACAGCACACTGCAAGTAGGATGGGGAGAGAGGAAGCAAGTTACCAGTTCACAAACTTAATGTATCTGGCCATTATAACAATTATCTTCAATAGAGCAAACTTACTAAAAGAAGACCCCTTTTGCCCTGGTTGGGTTGCCCAGTCGGTTGGAACATTGTCCCGTATACCAAAAGGCTCAATTCCGGGCAGGGCACATGCCCAAGATGCGGGCCTGATCCCCAGTCAGGGGCTGCAGGAGGCAGACCCTCCATCTTTCTCATCAAATTGATGTTTCTCTCCCTTTATCCCTCTCCCTTCCTCTCTCTCTCAAATCAATAAAAACACTTAAAAAATAATAATAAAGTCCAGGTTTCTTTCCACTCACTAGGCCACAAAATTTTTAGTTCTGCTGTCATTAATTTACCATACTTATATTTAAAACCACAAAAACTGCACTGGAAGCTACTTACAGTAAGATTCATAAAGCTCAGGAATTTTTTGAGCATCTCTGTCATTATTGAAAAGTCCCCTTCAGGCAGATACTCCCGCACAGTGGTCACATTGATCTGAGGAAACATCAATGAAATACTGATCAGTGTGGCTCAATTGACTGAGCACCATCCTATGCACTGTATGGAAGGTTGCCAGTTTGATCCCAGTCAAGGTGTGTACGGGAGGCAACCAATTAATGTTTCTCACATCAATGTTCCTCTCTCCTCCATCCCCCTCTCTGAAATCAGTTTATATATGCATGTATGTATGTATGTATGTATGTATGTATGTGAGGTGGTAGAAAACACGAGCTTGCACCTTGCACTGTGTTGATGGTTATGGGCACATGTGTTCCAAACCTCCATAGTTCAAGGGCCCCTGAACTCTTGGTTAATATGGCATTTCCTCTCTTTCCTCGCTCAACAGTGCTTGCATGCGTACATTCCCATTCCCTATCCCATCCTTTCCACAAAGAAAGGCTAAGCTGGCACAGGCTACAAAATGAAGTTGTGTGTGCATGTTTACTTTTGTAACTGCACAGAAAATGCTTAAAACAACTAAACATGCCCTAACCGGTTTAGCTCAATGGATAGAGTGTTGGCCTGCGGACTCAAGGGTCCCAGGTTCAATTTTGGTCAAGGGCATGTACCTTGGTTGCAGGCACATCCCTAGGCGGGGGTGTGCGGGAGGCAGCTGATCGATGTTTCTCTCTCATCTCTCATCGCTGTTTCAAGCTCTCCCTTCCTCTCTGTAAGAAAATCAATAAAATATATTAAAAACAAAACAAAAAACAACTACACGTGCTGTTGAGTGTGTGTGTGTGTGTTGGGGTGGTGGGAAAGAGTTAGGAGAGGAGGAAGGAGTGCAGATTTAAAATGTTACACTTCATGGACACAGACAATAAACAGGGTGGTGAAGGCTTGGGGTGGGAAATGAGAACAGACTGGAAGAGATCAATGGGGGAGAAGGGGGACATATGTAATACTTTTAACAATAAAGATTAAAAAAATGTTACACTTTAAAATGTACTCAGAGCTGCTTATGGAATAAAAATAAAAAGATCAAAGAAAATTCCTCGCCTTAGCCGGTTCGGCTGAGTGGATAGTTGTGTCAGCCGGCGGACGGAAAGGTCCCAGGTTCGATTCTGGTCAAGAGCACGTGCCGAAGTTGTGGCTCGAGCCCCAGTAGGTAGTGTACAGGAGACGGCCAGTCAATGATCCTCTGTCATCATGATGTTTCTCTCCCTCTCCCTCTCCCTCTCCCTTTCCGAACTCAATAATAAAAATATATATAAAAAAAAAAAAAGAAAGAAAGAAAGTTCCTTATGTTCCACGAGTGAATCCAACTAATTATGGAGGCTAAGAATTTAAGTAGAGCTTCCCAAAAGGCACCTAGCATAACCTATGTAAAGGAGCATGTCAGAAGCCAGGAGAGATTAAAGTGTTTTCTCCACTGACTGTTAGCGAGACAGCTAAACTACTTATAAGCCCATCTGTTAAGGAAAATGTATGACTTAGGAGCCGAGAAGGAGTGCCCAATCTGCTCCCTAAGACAGACCGGGTGTAAGAGGCACTGGGAAACACTAGTCACCAGAACTCAAGGAACCAAAACCACATTTGATGTCTCAAGGGCCGGGGTTTTGAAGTGAGCCTAGTTGATCTGCAGGAAGACGAAGTTGCATTTAGAAAATCCAAGCTAATTACTGAGGATGTTCTGGGCAAAAACTGCCTAACTTTCATGGTCTGGATCTTACCCAAGACAAAATGGGCTCCGTGGTCAAAAAAACATGGCAGACCGTGATGGAAGCTCATGTTGCAGTCAACACTGCCGATGATTGTATGCTCGTCTATTCTGTGCTTGTTTTACTGAAAAGTGCAACCACCAGATTAGAAGACCTCTTAGGCTCAGCATGGATAGGTCTGCCAAACCCGGAGGATGAAGGAAATCGTGACCCAGAGATACAGACAAATGACTTGAAAGAAGTGTCCATAACAGATTCCAGACCCCATGGGGAAACACATGGAAAAGGCTCGCCACGCTATTCCTCCACTCCACTGTGTCTTTGTTAGAAAAGTCAATGCTGAAGCCCGGTTTGAACTGGGGAAACCTATGGAGATTCAAAAGCTACATGGGTTCGTGTGCCTTTAGATCAGAGCTGGACTGCAATGAAAGCATGGAGAGACAGATAAGAAAGATTCAGAAAAATACACAGAACTTAAGACACATGGACATGGTGGCAGTGGGGGATGGGAGGCGAGCACGATAGCAAAAATGACAAAGTGTTTGTGGGTAGGCAGACCCACAGTATGAATGCTTCTCCTAATTAAGCCCTTCACACTATCACAGATTCTAACCTTCCCACCATGCAACACACCTCCACTTTTTCTTGGCTCCTGAATATCCTGTCTCCTACAGAACCTCCCTTTCATTTGAAAATTGGGCTGTTCTACTTGTCCCTATCCTTAAAAACAAACAAAAAAAATCCAGCCAGGCCAGTGTGGCTCAGTGATTGAGCATTGACCTATGAATTAGAGGAGTTTTTGGTTCAATTCCTGGTTGTGGGCTCAATCCCCAGAAGGAGGTGTGCAGGAAGCAGCTGACCAAGATTCGCTCTCATCATTGATGTTTCTCTCTCTCCCTCTCCCTTCCTCTCTGAAATCAATACAAATATATTTAAAAAAAACAACCACCCCCATGTGTCCTGCTCTAAAAGCAGACTGTCCCAAAGGCCAGAACCATCCACTTCTGTGTTCCCTCAGCACAGAACTGTCTGGACATTCATACTTCTTACAGTTCGATTACAATGATCTCGCTCTCACATAGCAGCCCCATTCACCTGGCCAATGAGTAGTTCAAACAAAAGCACGTGGGCCAATATTGGCCAAGATGAGGGAAAGCCTACTTGGTATAGTGAGTGTGAAGGGGTTTTAGAGGGGGAAGCAATGCTCTTACAGTCCTTGGTGTCACTGAGGCCAGACTCTTCCACCTTGAGCCAGCTGAGCATGGATTTTATATTATGCTCTCTTTTACTTCAACCAAAGGTATGTGAATTGATTTATCATCCATTAGTCAAGAATGTTCTCATCAAACCCAATGTACTATTACTTGGAATGTACCTTTAAAAGTTCACCAAATATTCAAAACAGTCACAGGAATGTAAAGTACAGAATAGGGTCCTAGCTGGTTTGGCTCAGTGGCTTGCGACTGAAGGGTCCCAAGTTCAATTCCAGTCAAGGGCACATATCTGGGTCGAAGGCTTGATCCCCAACCCCAGTCAGGTTACATGTAGGAGGCAACCAATCAATGCATCTCTCACATTGATGTTACTCCTTCTGTAATCAGTAGGGACCTGAGGCTAAGCCCTCCCTTGCCTGTGGGGCTCGAAGGGGACCTCAAGGTGTGCTTCCCATGCTGGTACTTGGCTAGAGGATCTCAGGCTGCTCCCCCAACTCCAGCACCAGGGCAGAGGCCTCAGGCCACGCCCCCGACCTCAGCACCAGGCCAGAGGAGCTAAGGTTGTGCCCCCACCCAGTGGGGCTTGACAGGGAACCTCAAGGGGCACACTCAGTGTTGGGTTGGGGGAACTCAGGCTGCACCCCGGCCCAGCGGGACTTGGTATGGGACCAAAAGGCTGTACCCCCATCCCGGTGCTGGGCTGGGGCATCTGAGGCTGCGCTGTCACCCATCCCCCACTTGGCGGGGCTTGACAGGGGATCTCAGGCAGTGTTCCCCACCAGGCAGGGCTTGGAGGACCTCAAGGCATGCCCCCCACTCTAGTCTGGTCTAGGGGACCTCAGGCCACGACCCCCCCCTGCCCCCCAATCCTAATGTCGACTAGGGGACCTGAAGCTATACCCTTTGCCCAGCAGGGCTTGACAAGGGTGGGACTGGCCAGGTCCGGATCTAGCCCAATTAGGGTGTGTGTGTGTGTGTGTGTGTGTGTGTGTGTGGTGCGGCCAGGTCTGGATCTCACATGATTTCGAGGTGCATGTGGGTGGACAGGGATTTGACTCTGCATCCCCTGGCGCGCCCCAGACTCTCACAGAAGGAAGGTTTTTATATACATTTTACTAATTTTCTTTCACCTCTGACACTTCTATTATAGAGAAAGGGCAAATAGCAATATTAAATTATTTCCTCTAATTAATCCCCTTTTAATGTGCATGAATTTCATGCACTGGGTCACTAATCTCTCTCTCTCTCTCTGAGAGGGAATGCAGTCAATAATATTGAATAACTCTGTACAGTGGCAGAGTTATTAAAAAATATACATATTTTATATATATAAAAGCCTAAGCAACCAAATGACCAGTTGACTAGTCGCTAAGACGTGCACTGACTACCAGGGAACCGATGCTCAATGCAAGAATTGGGCTCTCTCCTGTCTGGATTAGGCTAAAAGTGGCTATCCGACATTCCATTAGGAGTCCCAGATTTTGAGACCCCATCGGTGCACAAATCTGTGCACTGGGTCTCTAGTATAATATAACTGCAAAATAACATTTTAAAAAAAGTTCACCACATATTTGAAAGTTTTTAACATGAGGGGGTTAACAGAGTAGTATATAAGCTAATTAAATAATGGTATGAAGCTGCCACAATGGAATCTTTTCAATACACATAAAACAGTGAACTCTTACTTACGGGACTCTCCTGGCAGAGACAACCAAGAAGCAGTGCTGTGTACGAGGCCACAATGCAATCCTCCATATGTTTGCCAGCATGCTGAAGGGCTAAGAATAAACAAAACACTGTAACAGCATATAAAAAAATAAAACCCCACAAATCCAACAACTCAGTTATCACTTCTTCAAAACTATTAAACAATGATAAATGATGCTAGAAAAATGGGATATCCACACAAATTCACAAAAAATAATAAGTGGAAGATAATGTAAGAGCTAAAACCATAAAACTCTTAGAAGAAAACACAGACTAGTCCTGGCCAATGTGGGTCAGTGCCATCCAGTACACCAAAAGGTCGTAGATTCTGGTTAGGGCACATACAGGTTGAGGATTCCATCCCCAGACAGAGTGCATACAGGAGGCAACCAAGAGATGTCTCTCTCTCTCTCCTTCCTCACTCTCTAAAAATCAATTAAAAACATATCTTCAGGTGAGGATTAAACTCAAACAAAAACCACAGACTACATCATTGTGACATTAGGTTAGCAAATAGTTTTTTCAACACTAAAACCCAAAAATGACAAAGTAAAGAATAGGTACTTTTTGCAGAGACTGGTTTGGCCCAGAGGATAGAGCGTCTGCCTGCGGACTGAAAAGTCCCAGGTTCGATTCTGGTCAAAGGGGATGTACCTTGGTTGTGGACACATCAGCGACTCTCTCTCATCGATGTTTCTAACTATCCCTCTCTCTTCCTCTCTGTAAAAAAATCTATATATATATATAGAATAGGTACTTTGGTATTTCAAGTTACCATATACCATCAAGAAAGTAAAAGACAACCTTCAGAATATATCTGCAAATCATATACCTATAATCAGGGTCAAATATCCAGAATAAAGAATGTGTGCAGCAAATAGACAAACTGATTTAAAACATGGGCATTTGGCTCTACTGGTTTGGCTCAGTGGACAGTGTGTCAGCCTGCGGACTGAAAGGTCCCAGGTTCAATTCTGGTCAAGGGCACATGCCAGAGTTGCAGTCTCGATCCCCAGTAGGGGGGAGGGGAAGGTATGCAGGAGGCAGCCAATCAATGATTCTCTCTCATCACCGATGTTTCTCCCTCTCTCCTTCTCCCTTCCTCTCTGAAATCAATAAAAATGAATTTAAAAAAACAAAACAAAAAAATATGGGTATTTGGATATATATTTCTCCGAATATATTTAAATGATTATTAAGCATGTGAAAAGATGCTCAACACCATTTCTTAACTAGGGAAGAATCAAGTGACATACACCTTTACTCCCACTCGAATAGCTGAAATAAGAGGCACATAACTCTAAGAAACTGAAATCCTTACATGTTGCTGGTAGGAAATTAAAATGGTACAGCCACTTTGGAAAACAATTTGACAGTTTCTTAAAACGCCAAACATAGAATAAACAAATAATGTAGCATTTTCACACTTGGGTACGTACCCAGGAACACTGAAAATATATGTTCACACAAAAACTTGTACATTGATGTTCATAGCAGCATTACTTATGACCAAATATAGACACAAACCCAAATGTCCATCAACTGACTAAACAAAATGTGGTATACACAAAAATGGATTATTTGTCTCTAAAAACAAATTAGGGCCCTAGCAGGTTTGGCTCAGTGAATATAGTATCAGCCTGTGGACTTAAGGGTCCCAGGTTTGATTCTGGTCAAGGGCACGTATTTAAGTTGCAGATTCAATCACCAGACCTGGTCAGGGCGCAGCACATGGGAAAGGCAACCAATTGCTATCTTTCTCTCACATCAATTTTCTCTCTGACTTCCACATTCCTTCCACTCTCTCTAAAAAAATCAGTGGGAAAATATGCTCAGGTGAGGGATGAATGAATGAATGAATACAAAAATAAGAATGAATTAGGTACTGGCACATGCTGTGAGGTGGAAGAAACCAATAACAGAGGGCCATACCAAACGGTGATTCCGTTTATACAAAACTAGAGGCCTGATGCACGGACACTTGTGCCAGAACGGGCCTTCCCTCAGGCCCAGAGCGGCTGGGCCATCCTGCCCGGCCCCAACTGCTCGGTGCCTGTGTATACAAATTAACCTTCCATCTTTGTTGGGTTAATTTGCATACTCACTCCTGATTGGCTGGTGGTCGTCATGAAGGTACGGTCAATTTACATCTTTCTTTTATTAGTGTGGATGTCCAGAATAAGCAAATACAGAGACAAATTAGATTAATAATTTCCAGAGGCTATGGAGTGAAGAGTACGGGGTAATTACTGTTTATAGGTATGGGATTTCTTTGGGGCGGGGGGCGGGGGGGACCAGCGATGAAAATGTTCTGAAGTTAGACAATCTTATGAATATATTGAAAACTACTCAATTGTTTCCTTTAAAAGAATGAATTTTTTAATATCCGCCCCCAATTTATATGTTGATCTCGAGGTATGACTGCACTTGGAAATAGGGTGTTTGGTTTAAAAGGTAGCTAATTTAAATGAGGTCATTAGGGTGGGCCCATCTAATATGACTGTCCACTAAGGAGAAATTAGAATAAAGCACACACAGAGGGAAGATCATAAAAACATAGATCATCTAAAAGCCAGAAAAAAGAGGCCTCAGAAGACGCACTGATCATGGGCTTCAGCCCTCCAGAACTGTGATGAAATAAATCCTGTTATTTAAGACACTGAATTTATGTTACTTTGTTATGGCAGCCCTCACAAACTAATATTTATCCCAAATAAAGCAACTATTTAAAAAGACTGCTGCCGAAACCGGTTTGGCTCAGTGGATAGAGCATTGGTCTGCAGACTGAAAGGTCCCAGGTTTGATTCCGGTCAAGGGCATGTACCTTGGTTGCGGGCACATCCCCGGTAGGGGGTGTGCAAGAGGCAGCTGGTTGATGTTTCTCTCTCATCAATATTTCTAGCTCTCTATCCCTCTCCCTTCCTCTCTATAAAAAAATCAATTATATATATATATATATATATATATATATATTTTTTTTTAAATTAAAATAAACAAACAAACAAATAAATAAAAAGACTGCTAAGTGCCCTATCTGGTTTAGCTCAATGGATAGAGTGTCAGTCTGCAGACTGAAGGGTCCCGGGTTCGATTCCAGTCAAGGGCACATGCCCGGGCTGTGGGGCTCAATCTCTAGGAGGCAGCCAATCGATGCTTCTCTTTCATATGTTTCTCTCTTTCTCTCCCTCCCTCCCTTCTTCTCTCCCTCTTCCTTCCTCTCTGAAATAAATAAAAATGTATTTAAAAAATAAAAAATAAATAAAAGACTGCTAAGCAGTAAAAACTGTTATGCCAAAGGAAACATCAAAATTAGTAAATGAGGAAATAAAACAGATTTCTTACAATATCATAACTAACGACATTAGATTTGGAGAGCATGGGCACAAGAGAAAGTAGACTCAGAATCAACATTGCTGGTGCTTGCATCCTAGCTGGGTGAAGATAAACATATTAAATTTCGAAACTTGAGTGGCATGAATAACAACTGGCTATTTTGCAGAATTTGCATGAATCAAGCATCACAGTTCCTGACAACAGTAGATAATGTTTGATTAGTGAAACCATTACCTTCAGTATATTCTTTACTGTGTTTGCCACCAACTACCTGTACCATTTGAGAATGATAACTGTAATTTATGGCAATAGAAGTCAGTACATAAAGGGAGAACAATAAAAGAATCTCAAAGTTTCAAAACTAAAAACTTTTAGGGGTCAGTGTTCAGCTGCTTCCCATTACAGAGAAGGCTGGCCCGGAAGGAAAGGCACCTTTCCTCACTCACATGTGCTGTCTTCACTGCCAGAGCACCAACCAAAGCCTGTGCACGCTGAGACAGCAAAGCTGTGTGCACTGAACTAGAGAGGCCATGAAGTAGAATAAATAAAAGATCATGACAACACATGACTTAAAAGTATGTTCTGGAGAAAAAATAAGCCATCATTGAATTTAATATGTGAATACACTCAAAATAAATGTACCTTTATTGAGGTCAAGTTCCTCCTCCTCCTCCTCCTTCTTTTGTCTCTCTTCTGCACCATCAGTCTTTTCCGTTGATACCCACTGTATTTCTCCACTTGTTTCTTGCCACTCTCCACTCTTATCATGCTGAGTGGTGGGAGTATCTTTTATCAATTCATCTGTTTTACTTTCTGCCAACTGGGCTGCTCGCTCTCGCTCAAGAAATAGCTGACAAAAATTATTTTTAAAGAGATTAAAAAAGAGATCACCAACCAATATGTATGTAGCCAAATATAAAGTTCTATTTATTTTTAATCATCACTAATCCTGAGAAGCAAGTTGTATGATAAAAAGGTTAAGTATCAATAAAAGCCCTTGTTTGGTAATTCTTGCTCTATATCTTATGAAGGCCAAAATGAAAGTATAAATGCTGTTGGTATTCAATCAAGTAAATTAAGTGTCTACTAATAATGCAGGCAGGCATTGTGTTTGTAAGAATGAAAATCTCAGTACTTCCTTTAATTTGAATAATAATGACAAAAAATTTCAAGTAAAAAAAGCTATAAACTTAAATAATTAAAACAAGCCTGGCTGGGGGAGTGAACCGGAAGTGCAAGCGCCCGGGCTGCTCCTCGGCCAGGCGGAACCTGCTCTGTCGGGCCCGGTGGCTGCAAAAGAACTTTCTCCCGCCCCAACTGTCGCCTGGGCCAAGCGCCTCGCCCTCCTGGCAAGCCTCCCCCGCCGGGCTCCGCTCTCCGCTCGGCGCGGCCCGGCTCCCTCTCGCCCGGCAGGGCCCGCTCGCTCCCGCCGCCGCCACCGCCTCGCCTGCTGCCCGGCCCGGCGGCCCGCCCCGCTGCAGTGATGTGCGACAAGGAGTTCATGTGGGCCCTGAAGAACGGGGACCTGGACGAGGTGAAGGACTACGTGGCCAAGGGAGAAGATGTCAACCGGACGCTAGAAGGTGGAAGGAAACCTCTTCACTATGCGGCAGATTGTGGGCAGCTTGAAATCCTGGAATTTCTGCTGCTGAAAGGAGCAGATATTAATGCTCCAGATAAACATCATATTACTCCTCTTCTGTCTGCTGTCTATGAAGGTCACGTTTCCTGTGTGAAATTGCTTCTGTCAAAGGGTGCTGATAAGACTGTGAAAGGCCCAGATGGACTCACTGCTTTTGAAGCCACTGACAACCAGGCAATCAAAGCCCTACTTCAGTGATGGATGGATGGGCTGACACTCTGGAAGAATGACTCTCCTGTGGCCTCACACTGCTGCCTGTCTGTCTGTCACTCTCTATCTGCCAGCTTCTTCAGCTAAATACTTTAGGAGGGGTGAGGGGAGAGAGAAATTCATAACAAATCGGACTACCAGAAAACAAAAAATAAAAATGTTCTGGAGGAGAGGCAAAAACTACAATCAGGCTTTTACAAAGCCTCCTGATCAAGTCGGCCTCTTTTCCACTTCCAAAAATACACAGTTTATACCCAAGGGAGAGCAAAGACACATACCGTAACATTTGACCTTCTCAGCTCCCTAGCTAATTCAGTAATTAGATTGTGTCGAGGGTCTGATTATACAAAGGCCAACTCTACATAATTGGTAGCCCTAACTGTGCGAGCAGTAGTGGCTGCTGTGGTGTAAACTTAGGGTGCTGAGATAGCGATTAGCTCTAGCCTTCTGCCTTAAGGTGCACTCTGGGGTCTCCCGGTGTGGTGAAGAGCGCGCCGCCTGTGGTTGGTGACCAGATCCTCCCTCGGTGACTGTCAGCTTTACGCGAAAGCTCAGTGACGGGGAGGTGGGCACACCTAAATTGCTAGATGCCTGAACTTTGGATTTCCTCTCCCCTTTCCCATGGATTTCATGTATCTTTAGGTAAAACTGACTAGTTTTATTTATAAAATCTTAAATTTTGGAAGTCTATAGGAGAAACCATTCCAGTATGCATAAATTTTTCTCCTCTAGATTCAAATACTTATATAACATTGAAACACTTTAAAACTTTGCTGGTAGTAAAAGGGGATGTAAAACTAGAATCATAGCCATAAGCCTGTTAGTATCATACAAAGAGACAGTTGTCTTCGTAACTATAGTTGTCTTCATTTGCTATTTGAATGGATTGACCCCGGTTATGTGTGGAGAACAAGGAACATTGTAGGAATGTCTCTTTGACCCATCTTGGATGCTGATTACTTACTTATTGCACCAAAGCTATCACTGGGGTGAGATTTACTATTTGGACAAATTTAACCCCCATCTCTTAAAAAATATGCTTGTTACTAGGTTCCCCCAGCTGTTGATAAACTTCTGCTGAACATAAAAAAAAAAAAAAAAAAAAAAAAAAACAGCCCTAGCCAGTTTGGCTTAGTGGATAGAACATCAGCCTACAAACTGGAAGGGTCCTAGGTTCAATTCTGGTCAAGGATGCATGTTGGGTTGCAGGCTCGATCCCCAAAATAGGGGGCATGCAGGAGGCAACTGATCAATGATTCTCTCTCATCATTGATGTTTCTCTCTCCCCCTCCCTCCCATTTTCTTCCTCTCTGAACTCAATAAAAATATATTAAAAAAACAAACAAACCAAAACAAAACAAAACCACAAGCAGAAAGGATGAATTAACTGAAAAGAAGAACAATGAATAAAACTATATTATACTATGTAAAAGTAACATGGCTTCTTTAAAAGAAAACAAAAACCAGTAAAAAAGTAAAAAGGTTCAGAAAAAAACTCAGAGCTGGAACTCAACTAATCATATTTAAAATGAGGTGCAATTGTCAATGAAAGTGCAGAGGGAACACTCTAAGTGAAAAAGAGAATACCCTGAACCTCCTTGCCTTCACTGACCTGATCTTCCCTGGGTGGGTACAGTGCTGAACATGCAGAGAGCACTGAACATACTGGTATGATTTGGGGAAAACCCAAAGTTACTAAAGACAACTACCTGATAATCAAATGCCAAATAAACCTCAGAGATTTGCTTAATGTATTTAATACAAAGAGTGGTCTATAAAATTTAATGCCTTAAAAAATAAAATTCAGATTTTGTATAAAGCAGCATTTCTTAAAATTGGTTCAAGGATCCCTATATCCTTTCAGGGAGTCCATGAGGTCAATGATCTTAAGAGGTCAGGTGACTTCTTTCATTCTCTCTGAATATACAGTAGTTTTCCAGAATGCACAGCTCATGTACTTATATTATTGCTCTAGTGGCTGATGGTATGTGTGCCCATGTTTCACAATTTTCTTTTTCTTTTTAAATATTTTTATTGATTTCTTACAGAGAAGAAGAGAGAGGGATAGAGAGTCAGAAACGTCGATGAGAATCATCGATCAGCTGCCTCTTGCACAACTGCCACTGGGGATGTGCCCGCAACCAAGGTACATGCCCTTGACCAGAATCGAACCCAAGACCCTTCAGTCCTCAGACCGATGCTCTATCCACTGAGCCAAACTGGTTTCGGCATGTTTCACAATTTTCTAAGTTTGGAAAGATAGAGCACATATAAACAAAATATCTTTAATTTTTAAGAGTTTAAAGATCAAAATGTTTGAGATGAGAATGATGGGCTCCTAACTGTAATTCAGGAAAAAAAGATCAAATTGTCGTGGATTACTTTTGAGGGCACAGTTCAAACATCATTAGTTTCAAATAGGCCAAAAAATTAATAGGTTAGCTAGCAAAGGCTTCAGAAACAATGAAAAGGATAGCTTATCATCACTTCTGCATATATGCAAACTACTATTTAAGGAAATGACAAAGGCAGCTAGGAATCTATGAGTCTGGAAAAAAGTAAAAACTATAATGTCCACCGTTGTCAAGAAACAGGAACTCACAGACATTTTTTTTTAAGGGGGGGATATAAATGGATGGGAGAGGGAGTGTTTGTTTTGGGTGGGAGTTGGAGATACCAATTTTAAATATTCATATTCTAACACAATTCTTAAACCAGGAAATTATTCCACAGACATACTTTAAAGAGCATGACCCAGTATATAGGTATATAAGTCCTGGGCACAGATCAGACCAGTAAGTGCTGGATGAGGTGGGGCTGAAGGCTGATTCCTAATTTGTGATTAAAAATCTATTTTTGACTTATAAACAAATATGCCTTTCACTAACAATGCTTAAGGAGTGATAAGTAAGGGTATTCATTCTGACCCAGTGTACCTCTCACTAAACTGGTGAGACTGGGAGAGAAGCAGAGGGGTTGGGGGAGGAATAAAAAAGAAAGGAGGGGAGGGGAGATAAGACAGAGAGAAGTGCAACTGATAAGGAAATTGGACACATGCAACAAACTGAAGGTGTTTAAGTTATCGCTTACCTGCACTAAAGCCTGAACAGCATGAACTTGTCCAGCTATCCTTAAACTATCATCTGCTTCTCCACTGCAGAAGGAAGAATCGAAGGAGCACGACGTTTCCATGTTGACAAGACAGTGCCGATTCCGAGCACTATATTCTACTAAATTTATCAGTAGACCTAGGCCCTATAAAAATTAAAACTGCATATTACCACAGGTGAGAATTAAAAGCAAACGAACATAATGTACATCACTTTACTGGTAACTAGAAACCTAATCAGTGCCCTACCATCTACAAAATAGTTAAAAACTAGTATGTAAGATAATGGTCTTCCCAAAAAATGATTTAACCACTTTTTAAAGGAATCTTCACCTGAGGATGTTTTCCCATTAACTTAGATAAGTTGAAGGGATGGAGGTAGAAACATGGATGTGAGAGAAACATAAGACTGTTTGCCTCACACACACTGTGCCTGGAGACTATGTGCCCTTGAGGGGGAATCAAACCCTAGAGCCTTTGGTGTGGGGCAGACTCTCTAACCACTCACTGACCCACATCGGCCAGGGCTGATTTCACCACTTTTTTAAATCTCCACTTCTAATTCTTATATTATTTGTACACAGGGCCCTTCACAGCTACTTTGCACAGTAAGATCATGTTCATAAGGAATTTACTGAAACCCACAATGTCTGTGTACTAGAGGCCCCTTGCAATGGGCCTTCCTTCCCTTGGCTTCCTGCACCGGTTTTCCTCCGGCACCCCGGACTCAGGCCTTTGCTCTGGCCGGTTCGTCTTCACTGCTCTGCTGGAGTCTGCCATCTGGAATCTGCATTTTTCGGCTTCACTGCGGCACCCCGCTCCTGCAGATCCCTTTACCCCCTGCCCTCCCTCTCATCATATCAGGTGTCCTGCTCTGCCTGGCCACTCCTCGCCTGGAGCAGCTGGGCGGCCGCCATTTTTTGCCTTCTAATTTGCATACTCACTCTGATTGGCTGTGGGCGTAGCAGAGGTACAGTCAATTTACATGTTTCTCTATTATTAGGTAAGAAGATATAAAAGCCTAAGTGACTGAACGACTGGTCACTACGATGCACACTGACCACCAGGGGGAGACGCTCAATGCAGGAGCTGCCCCCTGGTGGTGAGTGTGCTTCCACCTCTGCAGCAGTGCTACCAATTGGCAGCAGCAGGTGCAGCGGCATTGGGATGAACAGGAGTGGCACCCAGCCAGGGCTTGGGCTCCTCCCCAGCCGCCTGCCACTTCGTACACTACTACATCCCCCGAGGGGTCCTGGATTGTGAGTGCACAGGCCAAGCTGAAGGACCCCACTGGTGCACGAATCCATGCAACTGGGCCTCTTGTATCCAATAATTTGTTCTAACCCCAAAACTAAGATGAAGTTTTCATTATCAACCAAGCACACAACTACTCATTTCTGAAATAGCTGCTTCGACTCACTAGCACTCGAATATCAAATCTCTGCTCCTGAGGTAGGTACTTTGGAACCTGAAGCACACAGTTCATCGCTGTGCCGATCAAGCCATCCTGTTCTCCTGTTTTGGTGCTGCCCCACTCTAAAACAGAAAACAGTGTGAAAGTGTTACTGGTTCTTCTTCATGATACCAACAACCAATATACACTAACAAGAATATGAAAAGTTAGAAATGTATAGTTGTTTTTTTTTGTGGTTTTTTTTTTGTTTGTCTTTTTTTAACACATTAACTGTGCTGACCATCACTCCATCACAAATGCTGAAGAAGTCATTAACTGTAATATTTCCAAGCCAAGATACCAGGCTTGTTCTAAAATGACCAACTCCTAAAGGCAGTCAAATCTACTAGTATACATGAATCAGTGAATTACATGATGGCAATTTAAAAAATCACTATCTCAAGAAAAGAAACAAGGGTGTAAACAGCCTTCCAGGGAGAATCCATGTAACACACGTCGCTCACCATTGTCGTTCGTTAAATTGAGCAGCACCCCGATAATGGCCCGCATGCAGTCTTCCACTGCTTTGCCCACGTGGTTAGTGACATTCTGCTGAGGCAGAGGCTTGCTATCAGGCAAGCATATACTGTTCTCAGCACGGTTATACTGCTGAATCAATTCTTCACAATGTTGCAATGCTCTTAAGAGAAAACAAAATGTAGATTTACTCTAAACAAAAATAATTAAATTTAAAACTTCTTACTTGGGCCTTAATGTTTCAAAATCTGTCATATGCTGTCATATTAACTTACTTTCCTATCCCTATGTTATACTGTATTAGCCTAGTAAATTATGTAATAAGTATGTATGGTATTCCAATGGTATCGCAATAGCTGCTACATTTGATTTATTTTGGGAAAAATCGAGAATTTAAATTTTTTTAGGCCAAGTTAAATTATGAATTCTATACAGAAGTTTTTATCTCTATTACTTAACAGTTGTCCCCCATTTTACCATTCTCTCCAACAGAAATGACTACAATCCTTCTCCAAACAAGCTAAAGTTCTTCAGAGTTAACACTAGACACTTTGGAATTTCACTCAGATCTTTTTTAATGCATGTTCTTAGCAGATAGAGAACATTATTAATACTGCACAATAAAATGATCTTGTATAGATGGGTATTAAATACTTCATAAATATTACAGCAAATGACAGGTCATTTAACTGATGTGTCTCCTGGCAGAATCAAGGTATCAGCTGTACCCAAGGATTCTCAAGATGCTACTCAAAATAACAAGTACATTTAATGCTTAAGTAGGTATAATATTTATGAATACTCTCCTTAAATCACAAAGTCCGTTAAAAAAAAAGTCTATGATGAGATGATGTAAGCGGTCTGTGATGTGACATGCGTTGTATAGATCACACAAGCCCCTTGAAGAAACGGCCCTGTACCTATTCCTCCTGGGCTGCCCTTTGGTTAGGTCGGTGTTCCTCACGCCTGATTTATAACAATGTCTTCCGTAGATGTTTAGGGATGTCAGCCACAACTATTATGCTGTTAAAGTTCACTCAACTGCGTTAAGCAGTACTGAGCTAAATCAGTTTGAATTGAGAGGTGGGTGAAGAAAAGTGAGGTATATTATTTAATTTTTCAATATGTTATCCTTGCATTTATCAGGGTTTTACAGAAAAGTTTAAGAAGCCTGATGAGAGATCGTTCACAAATATCCAACTCTGTCCTCCACCCCTACTTCTAAGACATTTGACACAAAGGTCCTAAATACAACAAAAAAGCTAAAACCTGTCCTTATCAGGAGGCATGAAACATATGAGACATTTTAAAAGTAACATATTTAACTTGCAAGAAGACTCCCTTTTTAACAGAGTAAAAAAACTAGAATACATGCTTTAATGGTATCAAGTGTGACACAAAATGTACAAAATACAAGAACAATGGAGAAGAAATTTACAGATTAAGAAAATCGATTAGAAAATACTGGAAATTGAATGCTAACTGGACATATTAATATTAGGCAAATAATTTTTGGGGTATAAAAATAATGTGGCTATATTTTTAAAGAGTCCTCTTGTATATACTTAAGTACGTATGAATGAAATGATAAATTTGTGGTTTGCTTCCAGATAATCTAGAAGGGGGAATGATAGGGTTACAGCTGGAAACAAGACTGGCTAGGATTGATGATGACTCAATCTGAATGATATGTAAATCAAGGCTTATTATACTATTTTGCCTCCTTTTGTCATGTATGATATTCTCCTGAATAAGAGGTTAAAAAAAAACACAGATAAATTTGAGTCAGGTAGTAAGTGGGACTTTGCTACTATACTAAGGACTTTGAGTATATGTGCAAAATCAGTAAGGAACCACAGAGATTTGCAGTTTGAGATTACTTTTACAAAGCATATACATATATGTTTTAAAATATATATATACATACATTAAAACATATTTTCATTGACTTTAGAGAGAAGGGAGAGGGAGAGAGAGATAGAAACATCAATGAGGAGAGAGAATCATTGATCGGCCGCCTCCTGCACACCCCCTACTGGGGACCAAAACCACGGAACCCAGGAAGGTGCCCTTGTCTGGAATCAAACCTAGGACCCTTCAATCAGACGCTCGGTCCACTTAGCCAAACCAGCCAGGGCAAAAGCAGAGATGTGAGGACAGTTAACCCCTGTGGTGTTGTGCTGGACATGCTAGAATATCAGGAGTTAGGACAGAGAGAGCAGGAAGAGGCTGCTGCACTGGGTGACAGCATTAGCCTAATGTCAGGAATTAGGGCTGAGTGTGTGGGGAATGAGGGAAGAAGCTGCATACAGATCTGGGGGGAAGATAAAAACAAAAAGGAAGAGGAGGGATAGTGATGTTTATTCATAATAAAAATAAGGCTGATATTTAGTGTTTACTCTATGCCAATAATTGTTCTAGGCCAGTGGTCGGCAAACTTGTTAGTCAACAGAGCCAAATATCAACAACACAACGATTGAAATTTCTTTTGAGAACCAAATTTTTTAAACTTAAAACTTCTTTTAATGCTACTTCTTCAAAATAGACTCACCTAGACTGTGGTTATTTGTGGAAGAGCCACACTCACAGGGCCAAAGAGCCGCATGTGGCTCGAGAGCCGCAGTTTCTAGGCTTTATGGATATATACTAACTTTTTAAAAAATATATATTTTATTGATTTTTTACAGAGAGGAAGGGAGAGAGATAGAGAGCTAGAAACGTCGATGAGAGAGAACCATCAACCAGCTGCCTCTTGCACACCCCCTACCGGGGATGTGCCCGCAATCAATGTACATGCCCCCGACCGGAATCGAACCTGGGACCTTTCAGTCCGCAGACCGATGCTCTACCACTGAGCCAAACCAGTTTCGGCCATATATACTAACTTTTAAAAAAATTAATCTTATTGTTGGAAGTATTACAGATATCCCTTTTCCTCTATTGATTCCCCTTCTTCCTCTCCCCTATATTAACTCTTTTAACATATATTGTTCATAACATATATAACATACAAGGGATATTTAAAAATCATTTTTAAAGTTTAGACATATATTTTATACATACTAATATACATTTTAAATGATATAATTTAACATATAACAAGTATATTATTATTTTTATGATAACAACCTTGGGTAAGTAGATACAATTATTAGCCCCCCCATCTGAAGAACTTGTAGCAAATAAAAAGCAAGGATCCACACTCCAGTCGCTCTGGCTCCAGAATCTGCACTCCTAACTTTTCCTAGACTGTACTGCTTCTGGTACACAGAATTTGACAGATGAAGTGTTTTATGGAGGAAGATCATACAACAGTATTTTTTTTTAAGCCAATCTAAATGCTTTAAATAAAATATTTTATTTTTATTCGTGTGGCTGAAACCGGTTTGGCTCAGTGGATAGAGCATCGGCCTGTGGACTGAAAGGTCCCGGGTTCGATTCCAGTCAAGACATGTACCTTGGTTGCAGGCACATCCCCAGTAGGGGGTGTGCAGGAGACAGCTGATCGATGTTTCTCTCTCATCGATGTTTCAAACTCTCTATCCCTCTCCTTTCCTCTATGTAAAAAAAAAAAAAAAAAAAAAAAAAAAAATCAATAAAATATATATATTTTTTAAAAGTGTGATATTTCAGAAAAACTTACTTAGCTGATGAAACAATGAGTTGTGAATCTTTATATGCTATCAAGTAGCCTTGATTGTCTGGATTATGCACTGTTACCTAAAAGAAAAAATTTTAAATGATGTGTCAATCCATAACTTCAGTCATTCATATATAACACACTTATAACTAATGCTGTAAAAGACAAAGATGAGAAAATTCAGCCCTTGTCATGTAAGTAAATAACCCACATGTTCCTACTTTAAAACAATAAAGCTATCGCTTTATTACAAAGTTAAAACATTACTGTTACAATTGCTTGCTCATAATGTATTCTGTGCTCTACATTCACTGTAATGAATTACCAATGAATGTCAGAAAAGAACAGTCTCTAACTTATACAAAAACTAATCAAGTTCTTAAATGGATTCATTTAGAATTTTAAAAAAATATACAGGAGTGGACAAAAGTAGAATTATAGTTGTGAGTATACAAAATAGTTTATTCCTGTATTATTATTAGTTGCATTATTTCCATACAAACAACTGTAAACCTAGTTTTGCCCACATCTGTATATCTCTGTTTATCAAATATACTCTAGAACAGAGTACTTCAATTTTGCCAAAAAATTTTTTTAAAAAGATTTTACTAATTGATGAGAGGAACAATGATTTGTTATTCCACTTATTTATGCATTCATTGGTCAATTCTTGTATGTGCCCTGACCAGAGATCAAATCCAAAACCTTGGTGTATCAGGATGGTGCCCTAACAACTGAACTATCTGGTCAGGGCCAAAAAATTTTAACTACACTAGATTATTTCCCCACAGATGGTTCAAAAGGCACCTGGCTACTCCAATCTAATCAATACACAATCTATGCATACTGCACTTCACTGGCAGCGTAATGTCTCTGAACTGGGTTAAGTTATTCATTAAAGGCCAAGAACAAATATACTTATTATGGCACTCAGTTCAATAATACCATTCTTCAACACCAAATATTAAGAAAATTCTTATTAATTAAAAAAACAAATGAACACCTGACTGCTTTTTACTATCATTTTTCCTAAACAAGTTAACATAAAGGGTGTCCCAAAACAATGTGTACACACTTTAATAGCTGATAGTTCTATTTTGAAAATGAAATGTATTTTAACAAACACTGCCTTTATAATTATTCAAAGTGTGTGAATACAGTTTTTTGGACACCCTATATAAGTAGAATTCCACATTAAGGAATATTAACATTCGGCAATATAAACAAAACTGACATACGAGGTTTTGTATGGAGCAGCAATACACATATTTTTAAAAAACTAAACTGCTCATTTAACTTGTTCATTAACAATGGCTGCTCAAAGAATGCATCACAATTACAATTTGGACTTTTTTTAAAAAGTGAAACTCCAGGGATACATAACACGTATTTGGCAATCTCACACAGTCACAATTAAGATTAAACAATTTTCTCCAAACAGTTGTCTATACTTACACTTTCTAGAACTCGTAAACATCTCTCTGCTCCCCATAATGAGGCTACTAGTTTCTCTTCATCCTCATCTCTACTGAGATGATCCACACATTCTTTCACTAGAAGAAAAGAAATGGATGTGTACCAGTTAGCACGTCTCAGCACCTAAGTACCTGGCCCTTCACGAACATTAAAAGCCAATGAACACATGCTGTGGAAATTTTGGAACCTCTTCGGACATGAATTATTCTAAGTTTTATACTATGAGATGTTGAAATGTCTGAGACTCTAATTTATTGTAATTATTTTCTTTCCATTACTTTCAAAGCATTAATGGCATTTCCTGTGAAAGAGATTTGCAAAATCTTTTCAAGTGATGAAATTACTTTTGGAATATGTAAATAAAATATATTTTTCATCCTTTTAAATCTATGAAAATATTGATCATACCTTTATCTACAATATGATCCAGACCACCCAAAAGCCGGAGTTCTTCTTTAAACCAGTCTCCTGCGCGTTTGGAAGTAAGGGATAGTAGCGTCTCCATAGCTAAATGCCCAGTCTAAAAATCAGAAGAACCATTAATGAATCTTTACTTTTAACAAAGATTCTGCAGCAAAAATTCCAGAGGTTTTCTTTAGAAAAGTTCACTACATGCCCATAAAGTTCACTGTATTTTTTCTTTTTTCAGAAACTTTTATTGATCTGAGAAAGGGAGGAGAGAAATATCCATTGGCTGTCTCCCACATGCACCAGACCAGGGACCACACCACAACCTGGCCATGTGCTCTGACAGGAAATGGAACCAGGGCCCTTTAATGTGTGGACGATACTCGACCACTGAACCAGACTGGCCAGGGCCATGGTGTTATTTATAATGCAGCAAGTGCTTTTATAAGTAAAGCTGGAGTGATTTTAATTTTTATGAGAATAGTCATAAGCTGAAGAAATGGTTTTAACCAATGGTTTGCTTTCATGGAAGATGAATCTCATTTATCAGTTGAATAAAGTAGATACTGGTGGCCAAAACTGGTTTGGCTCAGTGGATAGAGCGTTGGTCTGTAGAGTGAAAGGTCCCAGGTTCGATTCCGGTCAAGGGCATGTACATAAGTTGTGGGCACATCCCGGTGGTGCAGGAGGCAGCTGGTGGATGTATCTCTCATCGATTTTTCGTTTTTTTTTAATATATTTTTCTTTTTCTAATATATTTTATTGATTTTTTACAGAGAGGAAGGGAGAGAGATAGAGTTAGAAACAACGAAGAGGATATACATCGATCAGCTGCCTCCTGCACCCCCACACCCCCACTGGGGATGTGCCCACAACCAAGGTACATGCCCTTGACCGGAATCGAACCTGGGACCTTCCAGTCCGCAGGCCAACGCTATATCTACTGAGCCAAACCAGTTTCGACTCATCGATGTTTCTAACTCTCTATCCTTCTCCCTTCCTCTCTGTAAAAAAATTAATAAAATATATTTAAAAAAAGAAATAGATACTGATAGTATTTCCAAGGTACAGATGCTTAAGAGTGGGAGTTTGAATTAAAGGGTGCCTGTACTTTAACTGCAAATCAATTAATACCAGATTAATTTACCACGGAGGCTAAAACAAGCAGCACTCTAAGTGTGGCTGTGTCGGTTGTTCTGAATTCTCAAAATCTTATCACTTTAAATTTTTATCCTGAGGGTAAAAAATTGTATCTTATTGCTTTGGTTTGTATTGTTCTAACTACAGTAAACTTCAGCATCTTTTCACATACTGTTTCTTCTGCAATTCTTCTTTCCTTATTTACCTGCTAGGTTGCTTATCCTTTGCTTATTGTTATAAATATTTTCTTATTAGATTTACCAGGCTTGAACTGTATACTGCAGGGTTAGCAGCTTGGATACACATTGTGTGGCCACCACGACAAAACTATGAATAATTTCAGGACCACCATGAAAGGAAGCACAGAACAGTAAGCCATATTTATAACAAGAATGACGTTTTTCTTAATCTTTATTTGCCTTTAATTATTGTTTTTCTTTTCTACTATATTTTATTCTAAAAGCATATAGCTATCTCCCACCAAAGAGCAGTAGCAGTTTGAATCTTGTTGCAATAGGAACTTCAGCATAAGAAATGGTTTCATTAGCAAAGCTAAAAAGACCTGGTTTTCTTCCCAAACCTTCTTTCCTTTGTAATTTGCAAGTTTACATTAAGTCCTCCTGAACAATTTGGAAATGAATATAAATTGGGAATTTAAAAATGCAAAAAAAACACATCTTACCATCAAATCTCAGGAGTACTGATTTAGGAGAAATCTAGAACATTTTAATCTAATCTCTAACAAAGCTGATGTTAAGGTGGAAATATAGAACTAAATTCAATGCTATAAACACACATTCATTTCCCTCCATTCCCAGTCCCTGAAAGAATAATTTAATGCGATTGGTTCCGGTATATTAAGCTCATAAGCCACATAGTGAACCTGAAGCCTAATGAGACTATTTAGGAAGAAAGGGAACAGTAATTTGATGTTAATATCACAAAAGCTGGTGAGTTTTTATGCTAAAAAAGGACTATCATTTACTTCTATTGGCATAAAAAGGATTGTGGCTATTTCCAATATATTATATGCTAGCATTTTAACACAGCCTACACAATCCAAACATTTTACTTGAAAACGGAAATAGTCCTCAGAGTTAAAGCACAGCCAAATCATTAATCAGAATATTATATTCAGCTACTGTTAGCTCTGTTATTTAAATTATACCTGAAAACATTATAAAATTAATATTTTAAATTATTTTTCCAGGGCACTGCTGGAAACCAAATCAGTTTCACTGAAAAAGAGATACTGACAGGAAGCCAGGAAGGCTGGTCAACAACCTTAATTGCTCTAACCTTTAGTTGAGATTTTGTTAGCTGAAGCAGAATCTACAAGTTTCTATTATTTCCTGCCTAAGGGCTACATGTAAATTTCTGTTTATGTTGCTTAAGATGTCTTCCCCAAAGCCTCAATAAAAGGGGATGGCAGGGCCAGAGCAGTAGTAGTTCTCCCACTAGAGTTGGACTACCGCCTGGCCCCCCAAATCGCCAAATTGAATTTCTTCAAGTCTCTTCATTTGTGTGCGGCCCTTCTCCAGAACCTGAACCCTGAATTGGAACTCTTTCTACGCAGGCCGTGAAAGAGAGTCCTATAGGGCACATCAGGAATAGCAGTATATTTCGAGGAAGAAATTAAGCAATTAATAAAACAAACAAAAATTATGCACAGGGAGACAGTAAATGTACAAAGAATATCTACTTAAGATTTAAGACAAACAGATATTAAGAGAGAAGCAAAGACATTCAAAAATTAGCAATTCTGTTCTGGTTTTAATCATGTGAGTAAACTAGTTAACACAATATAAGAAAATTATTATGCTGGTATTTACCACCCTAATAAATTCAACAAATTCAACAAACCATGGAGGAAAATCAATAAACAAGTTAATCATGTCATTTAACATCAAATATCTGGAAAGAATATTGAATAATATGGGAGATAGAACAAACACATACATGTATGCAGCAAATAAAAATTATAGGCTCAAATTTATTCTTTATTTGATTAAAAATTTGTATATATTATGAAAATATAAAAAACCAATAAAAATTACGAATACATTTTACAAGTAGTATAAAAATAGTTTGGTGAGGTAGAGGGATTTTTTATCCACTATCTGAGCATAAAACAATTCTTTGTCCAACTTTAATACATGAAAGTGCTCTTTAGTAGTACATGTCAATTTTATGTCCCGCCATTTAATGTTAACTTGCTTTTCCTATCAACCCCCACTTTATTCAAATTCCATACTCTACCTTCACAAAATAGAGCAATATCCCTAAGTCATAGCTAGCTCAACAATGTCTGAGGCAATTGCTGCAGTCTTCAGTTTACTAAGCAGTTGGGGGAAAAAAACAATATTATTTATATAGTTTTGATGTTGAAAATACCTAAAAGTCAAGTTACATATAAAGAAGTAATTTTATTTTTTCAAAATGACAAGTCGAATTATTTTCTACTAGCCTGATAATCTTGAGGAGGATTATTGATTATACAAGTAAAAGACAGATAAAAAAAAAAAAAAAACCCACAAAAACTGGAATTAACCAAAAGCAACAGGCATTTTAAACTTGGAAATATGGCCGGGACCGGTTTGGCTCAATGGATAGAGCATCGGCTTGGGGACTGAAGGGTCCCGGGTTCGATTCTGGTCAAGGGCATGTACCTTGGTTGTGGGCAGATCCCCAGTAGGGGGTGTGCAAGAGGCAGCTGATCGATGACTCTCTCTCATCGATGTTTCTAACTCTCTCTCTCCCTTCCTCTCTGTACAAAATCAATAAAATATATTAAAAATAAATAAATAAAATAAAAATAAATAAACTTGGAAATGTGTGTTGAGCATAAGTGTAGCAGTTAATGGGACACCCTGAAACTCTAGAATGAGTGAATGCTCATTGGAAATGATCTGGTGCCGAAACCGGTTTGGCTCAATGGTAGAGCGTTGGTCTGAGGTCTGAAAGGTCCCAGGTTCGATTCCGATCGGGGCATGTACATTGGTTGCGGGCACATCCCCGGTAGGGGGCGTGCAAAAGGCAGCTGATTGGTTTCCCTCTCTCATCGAAGTTTCTAGCTCTCTATCTCTCTCCCTTCCTCTCTGTAACAAATCAATTAAAATATATTTTAAAAAGAAAAAAAAGAAAAGAAAATGACCTTGCAGCTCTAGCCGGTTTGGCTCAGTGGATAGAGTGTCAGCCTGTGGATCACAGGGTCCCGGGTTCAATTCCGGTCAAAGGCACATACCTTGGTTGCAAGCTCCTCCCCGGAACTGGCCCTGGTGAGGGCTCATGCAGGAGGCAACCAAGGAATGTGTTTTTCTTACACCGATGTTTCTCTTTCTGTCTTTCCCTCTCTCTTCCACTCTCCCTAAAAATCAATGAAAAAATATCCTTGGTGAGAATTAACAACAAAATAATAAAAAATAAAAACATTAAAAAAAAGAAAAGAAAAAGAAAATGACCTTGTAAAAATCTCTGAGAAGAAAATGACCTTGTAAATCTCTTTAAAAATATATATTTTTTATTGATTTTTTAGAGAGAGGAAGAGAATTAGAAACATCGATGAGAGACAATCAATCAACCGTCTCTTGCACACATCCCACTGGGGATTTGCCCGCAAACCATGGTACATGCCCTTGACCAGAATTGAACCTGGGACCTTTCAATCCGCAGGCCGACGCTCTATCCACTGAGCCAAACTGGTTTTGGCAATCTCTGAATTCTTATTCCTAAAACCCACAGAGAATAAGTATTCAAATTCCTTATTCAAATTCCTAATAGCTTAAAAGTTATTTTTACATTAAAAAAAAAAAAAAAAAAAAAAAATCGACCCCAACTGGTGTGGCTCAGTGGTTGAGCATTGACCTATGAACTAGCAGGATAGGGTTCGATTCCAGGTCAGGACACATGTCTGGTTGCAGGCTCAGTCCCCAGTGTGGGGCATATAGGAGGCAGCCGATCCATGATTCTCTCTCATCATGGATATTTCTCTCTCTCCCCCCCCTCCCTTCCTCTCTGAAATCAATAAAAATATATTTTTTAAAAAATTGAGAAAAGAATGTGCTGGGCAATGGGAGCGGACGGGGAGAGGTCAAGGGGGAAAAAAGGAGACGACATATGTAAAATTTTAAATAAAGAATTTAAAAAGAGAAAAAAATTAGGCAAAATGCAATAAAAATTTTACTGGTAAAAAAAATATATAGTTTAGGAATTTCAGGCAGGGAACAGAACTATGCTCAGAACTATACCTTCAGAAAATCTGCTGTATTATAAACCAAGAAGCTAAATGATTTGTCCAAAGTCACACACTTGCTGTGTCCAAAAACTTTCTGGAAGTAATTTTCTTTTTATAATGGAAAGAAGAAAGGAACCCACCGTTATATTTTCTAGATCAAGATGCTTGTTGTGTACAGTTTCACAGAGCCTGCGAATTTTTTCCTTGATTTTGTTCATGTCTTTTTCATTCAGTAGCTTAGCTGAAGAAGCATCTTGTTCCAGTTCTAAAAGTCGAATCATTAGGTCTAGACTAGCTCTATCAAGATCCATGTTCAAACGATCTCTACTCAATATGTACATGAGGGCAGCTGTACAAAGGGACAGATTCTTCAATGGACAAAAAGAAAAAGAAAGTAATCAATTACTGGCAATTTCAGGAAATAAGATTATTTTGACATTTATTCACATGGTGGAACCCCCATCCATTAAAATATTCTATAGAAATGTGAATTAAATAAATAAAGTAATGCTGCATCAAGTTGTGCTTTCTGAAGACCTCCCTACACGAATGGTCCAAAGCAAGAATATAAGTGAAAGTACATATTTCTTTAGCTATTCTATATTTAATAAAAAGTTTACAGTACATTTTTCAGCTCACTTCACTATCATTCTTTATGATTAAATAAAGTCAAATTTCAACAAACAGATTTCAATAAGTAAAATCAATAATCTGTGCCCAGATGCTCAGTGGTTGATCATCAACCCAGGAACCAAAGAGGTCACTGGTTAGATTCCCGGTCAGCCAACATGCCAGGCATTTTGAGCTCAATCCTCAGTTGGAAGTCATAATGTTTCTATCTACTTCTCACCCTTCCCCCCTCTCTCTAAAATTCTATAAAAACATTTTTTTAAAGTGAATAATGTGTTTTAAAACCTGTATCAGAAATTTAGCTATGTTTTTCTGTAAAATAAATGCAACCGCATTTGTGTCAATATGTAAAACTAAAATGCCCTAATAAACACATTTAGACTCATTTCTTTGAAATAAACCAATTAGGTCTGGCTGAACCAAGTATTTAAAAATAAAATCATGTGTTCTCAAAATCATTCAAATCAGGTAGCTGGCACACTTCACTTATAATAGGTACTAAAACCTGTAAGTAATGAAAGGGATATAGTTTAGGTCAGCATTATTTCAATATATAAGATATATTGTATTACACTTATTTCAATACATAAAAACACAATTAACTATGTAAACATTTAAACTTTAAATCCCCCAAAGCAAAGAGATTTCAGACTAAGTGACTAATTAAATCCTTACACAAAAAAATTAATTTTGGATATTAGGATGACACAGTATAGGTTTTGGGAGTCCAATGCCCTCAAGAACACACAAATCAATACTTTGGTCCTCTTATCTATCTATCTATCTATCTATCTATCTATCTATCTATCTAAAACCTTAATATGCAAACAGAATGGTGAACCTGTCGCTATGATGTGCACTGACCACCAGAGGGCGTGCACAGAGCATGATGGACATTGGCCACTGAGGGATGGTGGAGCAGGTGAGCTGAGGTGCCAGACCAAAGCAGAGTGCCAGTCGCTGTCATTAAGGAGATCCTCTGGTGGTTACTGAAAATTCTTTGCTCCTGCCTGGCCCTTGCACCCACTGCCAACACTGATCTCGCTAGCACTGGCTGCCAACCTCAATTGCGGTGGCTGTCAGCCCCAATCGCCTCTGAGGGCTTCTCCATCTCCCCTTGTTCTGAAGGGCAATTGGGGCAGCAGCTGCCACTGGCACCTGCCCCAATTGCTCTGTGCTGTCAGTGGATAGGAGCAGGGCCGGTACCGTCAGCGCGTAGGAGCAGTGGTGGCAGGAGTGGGGCTGTTGGCCGATAGGGCACTAGAGGCTAGGCAGGGGTGTGGAGGATGGGCAGAGACAGTTCCTTTCAAGGTGCACAAATTTGTGCGCTGGGCCCCTAATAACTGCGTAACAAAACAAATTAACAGGTCTTTTCTCTTCCTACTCATTCTTTATCTGCTACAATTTGGTAATGGAGTTATCCTCACAGAGGGATAAGTACAATGCTTTCAGTTTCAGACTCAGAGTGTCTCCCTTATTTGCATTTGAAACATAATTTCCCTGAACAAAAATATATAATAAAGTTATCTCAAAAATACCACTATCAATAATAATTAGCAATGATTATTTTTTAATTTAAGAAATGTTAAACCTAACTTTATCACATATTTTTAAAAGGAAATGTCAAAGTCAAAATGAAAATGAGGAATTCTTTTTCACAATGAGTTATGTCCCAATTCAACATATAGACAAAATGCTTTTTTAAAAAGTTCAAAACCTTTTTTTTGTCATGCTACTGATATCAAAGATTAGTAAAATATTTTTTTCTAGCACTTTCTGGTTAGAAGAAATCAATGTTTATAGAATTAAATACATTGGAACTTGGTTTTCAAACTTAATTCGTTCCGGAAGGCTATTTTAAAAGTGATTTGTTTGAAAAATGAATCTTTATTTTTTTCATTAGAAACAAATGATTCCCTGCTTTAACCTTTCTTATATACAGTGATGGCTAATGTACTGTTTAATTTATAAATAATAGTAATTTTTTTTTTTAATCCTCACATCCGAGGATATTTTTTCATTGATTTTTACAGAGAGTGGAAGAGAGAGGGAAAGACAGAAAGAAATATCAGTGTGAGAGAACAACAACACTTGGTTGCTTCCTGCATAAGCCCTAGCAGTTCTTGCCCTTGACCGGAATCAAACCTAGGACCCTTCAGTCTTCAGGCCGATGCTTTATCCATTAAGCAAAACCGGCTTGAGCAACACTTCTTTTTTTAAATTTATTGAACCACCTTAAACGAATCACTTTTAGCATTCGGTCCAGGAATGTCTTTCAGGTCTGTATGAATCTTTGCTTGTTTATATGCTACTGCCAAAACGACTAACTGCTTTTCATTTTTCATTTTGCCAAACCAACAAATTTTTCTACTTCTTCAATTGTCTGTGATCATTGTTTCTTTCATACCTTTAACAATATTAGGAATTGTGATGGCCTTTGTTTTAAAATTGTGCTAATCATTGGTTTGATTTTGCCAGCAACAAAAGCATTCTCTCCTTTGTTGCCTGAGAGACACTTTTTGTCATTCTGTGGCAGCAGCCTGAAAGGGTTGTCAGGTTGAAAACCAAAGTTTGGTTGACAGCTGAGACATTTTTTCTGTGAACAACTTGACAGAGAACTGAATTGTTTGAGATGGGGTATCCAGTATGCTATGATAATGTTTTATTTTTGTTAATCTTCACCGGAGGATATTTTCCCCCCATTAATTCTTGGGGGGAGGGGAGGGGAGGAGAGGGAGAGAAGGAGAAAGGGAGAGAGAAACATCAATGTGAAAGAGACATCCATTGGTAGCCTCCTACAGGCATCTGGGTCTCAGGATCTGGCCTGCAACCAAGGTACATGCCCCTGACCAGAATAGAGTCTGCGACCCTCCAGTGTTGGTAGGCCAATGCTCTAACCACTGAGCAAAACAGGCGAGGGCTTGAATAAGTGTAAACAGTACAAACTGACCAGAGGAAAAAATGTCCTGAGAAAATAATCTTAAATGATTAAGCAAAAACTTCTAGCATGAAACTCTATATTTAGCAAATAAAACTCAACCCATTTAGGAAATATTTATATCTGAATATACATAAATATATTTGTCAATAACTAAACAGGCTAGAATTTTTAAATAATGCTTCTTAAACCCAGAAACTTAAAAATACCTGATGGTGCTGGGAATCATCCAAGGTTTTAAAGACCATTGCTACCATTCCATGTGCTCTCAGGTGCATTCGAAAACTGGGCATGGCACATTTAGTAGCCAAGCTAATAACACTAGAAGAAAATAGACTAGTTAGGGAGACTAAAAATAGCTAGTGCATTACTATTTTGTTTGCACAGTACCAAAACAAGGGCATGGGGTGAGATGTCAAAGCGTACAGATCACAATATAAAAAGCATGGGCAAACCAAATTATTAAAGATTTACTAATACATATGTGATTAGATATGTTATATTAAACTATATAAATAACAAATGATCATCCTTACTTCTTACAGTACTTACTACCATGAAAAGCAAAAAGTTTTAGCTACTTTTGATAATGCCTCTAATACATGAATTTTATATTTGATTGAATATATTCTCATTGACTGGATAATTAATCAAATCAAAATATTCAATCCTATATAATAAAAGCATAGTATGCAAATTGTCCCCTCAGCTGGGAGGTATCTGGGAGTTCGACCAGGGGGCGAGGCCGGCCAGAAGAAGGGAGTAACTGGCCGGCAGCCAGCAGCTGCTAGGTACCCTACCAGTCTATACAAATGAAAGGTGGGCCTCTAGTCTATACAAATAAAAGGGTAATATGCTAACTAGATTGGATAGACCAGACGTCTTCCAAACATCATTTCAGAGGTCCTTCCTGACAAAGCCAGGTCCTGGGCAAAGCTGCCCAGGGTCCTGGGTGCCTGTGGCTGGCCCCGGTGAAGCCACCTGGAGGTCCGGTGCCGCAGGCGTCGGGAGAGGGGGCTGCACAGTCTCGCCCCTTCATGGAGTCAGTAGCATGGGCCCGGTCCTGGCACCATGCCTCCGCAGAGGTGTGTGCCGGGGGAAAAGGGGGGGGGGGGCTTAGAGGGGGGCCGGGAGGGAAGGGTGTGTGACCGTGGTTCCTCAACCTCCCACAGCCCCTCCCCCAACCAGCCTGGTTCCGGATCAGGCCTCCCCACCAGTGGGCGGGGTCAGTGCTTAGAAGCCACACGCCCTCGCATCCCTGCACCTCAACCAGAAGCCGGGCTCATGGCTGGTGAGCACAGCAGAGGTGATGTGAGCCTCTCCTGCCTCTGAGGCAGGTGGGCAGTAAGAAGCAAGGGGCCCTGGACTGCGAAAGCCCCGGACTGTGAGAGGGATGTTGGAGTTCCAGCTTAGGCCCAAACCCTGGGAAGTCTTGCATGGTGAGAGGACACAGGCCAGGCTGAGCCCTGTGCACTGGGCCTCTAGTATATACATATATACACACATATATACACACATATACACACATATACACACATATACATACATACATATATACACATATACATACATACATATATACACATACACACACAGATATATTGTATATATATATAAAAGCCTAAGTGACCACTCAAGTCGCTATGACATGCACTGACCACCAGGGGACAGATGCCTAATGCAGGAGCTGTTCCCTGGTGGTCAGTGCACTCCCACAGTGGGAGTGCCACTCAGCTGACTGACGGGTGCCAGACACTGGGCTCACGGCTGGCAAGGGCAGCTGCGGTGGCGCAAGCCTCTCCCGCCTCCACAGCAATGCTACCAAGCAGTGGCAGGTGCAGTGGGAATGGTGTGGCACCTGGCCCAGGCTCGGTCCTGCCATTTCTTGCACTACTACATCGCCCGAGGGGTCCTGGATTACGAGAGGATACAGGCCAGGTTGAGGGACCCCAACAGTGCATGAATCCGTGCACTGGGCCTCTAGTATAGTATGCAGACTATCCAAATTAAAAGATGCTTGAATTTATCAAATTTTCTACTTGCACATTTAAAACATTGGGCTGTAAAAGAACGTAGGGCTTCTTTGGCATAACACTTTCAAGAATCTGGAAATTGAAGTCTAGATTATGCTAAAAATATATAAACATCCAACTTTCCTTCCTCTATAGAATAAAATCCCTTATAAGAAACCAATCACATTTTAACATTATCATCACTGACTATAAACTATATCCATGATAACAAGATCACAAATGTTTAGCTCCATCCATTTGAAAAACTTTAATGGGCTATGTAGCATGTATACAATTTTCAAAAGTAAAAGAAAGAGCTTACCTAAGGCAACGTGTGTTTAGAGGCTGAGTGCTCTTTAAGCCACTTAACAAATACTCTATGTCATCAGTGAACTCTTGATTTTCACCAAATTCCACCACATCATTGAAGTGCTTCACGTGCTGAACAACTGTATATAACTGCCAAGAAAATAAGTCCAACTCTTTTGTAACTGTGAATTGGTATATTTAGTTAAATGTAAAGGCTTGCTGCACTGACAGTTGCTTTTAAAACACTGGTAGTACTAGGACAAGGTAAGTTCATGACTCAGCTGTATCAGTGTACTGTATTTGTTCAAGACACTAAATTGCTAAATGTTAGACACAAAAACCTATCCATACATAGGAAAATGACAGGACTTCTTACTTCTTTGTCTTCTTTTCTGCATTTTAGTGCGGTAACTATATCTTGGTAGGGCTGAGTAGGTATTGTCACAGTTTTTATCACTTTGGGTGGTGGTGCAGGAGCCTTAAAAACTCCATCATCTTTTTGATTTGGTTCCTTTGAAGACAGCCTCACCTATTAAAAAGGGTATTAGTTACTCTAAAAAATATTCTATCTAATAAAAGAGTAATATGCAAATTAACCATCACTCCACTACACCCATAAACCACGCCCTCCAACAACACCCACCACCAATAAGGAGCGAATATACAAATAAACACAACCAAGATGGCTACAGCCACAGATAGCAGGAGGGAGATTGGGTTACCCAGACAATGGAGGAAGCCACGCTTTCCACCTGCCAACCTAGGCCTCCACTCAAGGCTACAAAGTTTCAATTGTATAAGATAAATAAACCCCAGATACCAGGGCCTCGCTTGGGTGGCCAGGGGGGCGAGGCCAGCCTGCAAACCACCACAGGCCCCTTGCCCAGGCTGACCCCTGCTCCAAGGGAACCACCACACTGATCCGGAACATCCTCCAGGGCAAACCAGCTGGCCCCCATCTGTGCACCAGGCCTCTATCCTATCTAATAAGAGAGTAAGCTGCAGATTGACCATCACTCCAACACACAATAGCTGCCCCCACGTGGTCAAAGATCCTGCCCCTATCTGGAAACAAAGTGAGCACCAGGCCAGCAGAGGGAAGTTGGGGGTGACTGTGCATGCAGGGAAGGGCAGTTTGGGGGGGCAGGCACAGGCCTGCAGAGGAGAGCAGTTGGGGGGGACCAGGCCTGCAGGGGAGGGTAGATAGGGGTGACCAGACCTGCAGGGGATGGCAATTAGGAGCAAACAGGCTGGAAGGGGAGCAGTTAGGCAGCATCCAGGCTGGCAGGGGAGTGGTTAGGGGGTCAGGGGCAATCAGGAAGGCAGGCAGGCAAGTACTTAGGAGCCAGCAGTCCTGGATTATGAGAGGGATGTCCAATTGCCCATTTAGGCCCGATTCCACAGTCGGACATCTCTTGAGGGATCCCTGATTGGAGAGGGTGCAGGCTGGGCTGAGGGACCCCTCACCCCCTGCACAAATTTCGTCCACCGGGCCTTTAGTATATACACACACATAAAAATAGTAAAATGTCCTCTATCTAGCAAATGTAGCTTATGAAAAAAAGATGGGAAGCGGCCTCTGAAAGGTCATAAGGGACATTTAAAAATTCCATTTACTACAAGGTAAAATTAATAATGTGTTTTACTTACAAAAGAACCACTCAGGAATTCCCACTGCTTTCTTAAACTGAGATTTCACACAATTTTTTTATTTTATTTTATATTTATTGATTTTTACAGAGAGGAAGGAAGAGGGAAAGAGAGTTAGAAACGTCAATGAGAGAGAAACATCGACCAGGGATGTGCCCGCAGCCAAGGTACATGACCTTGACAGGAATCGAACCAGGGACCATTCAGTCCACAGGCTGACGCTCTATCCACTGAGCCAAACCGGTTTTGGCAAGATTTCACACAATTTGCTATTTTGTTTTTAGGACTATTAGAAAGAATAAAGAACCACAATTCCATATATAAGCAGTATTGATAAGAAGCTAGGGATGGGATAGAAAAACTACAACCGATAGACAAAAGAATTTTTAAGAACAGAAAACTGTACTTCAGGGTAGAAATAAATAGCTAAAGTAAGGGCATAGCATATAATTACTAATACGTACAATGATGATATTATGCTACTAAAAGAAGTTTAATGTATTCAACTTAAGAAGATAGAGAACTAATTATACATTATATTTTACAAAGATCTAACTTTTGTTGTTATAAAAAACTCACTCCTTAAAAACAAAAAAGAACTCACTCCTTGATAACTCCAGATGCCTGAGGAGTTACCGTTATCTACAACAGCCATGCCCATCTAAGCATCTCTAAATTCCTGATGCCCTTGTAACATAGAATTCTTGTTATTCAAAAAGTGAACTCCTATACACCTGGGGGAAGCCTAAAATGTCATTAACTTGGTCAAAACACACTTTCAAAGAACCTGGCATCAATGAAAGAGAAAAATAAAAGAATGAAAGGATTAAAGTACTGAGGAAGAAATCACAAAGAAATTGTTAAAATAATAATAATAATAATAATAATAATATGAAGTGATATAAAAAAAAATCAAGTTTCAAAACAATAGAGAACTGAAATGCATAAATGCCATAATATATATTTATATCCTGTATATGAGGCCCCTAGAATCATAAAAAATGCAAAAAATTCACTATTAATAACTCATTCTTAAATTGCTCCCTTAAAAATCAAACTGCCCCTCTGTTGGAAACCACTGATCTAGAAATATTACTGTATATAGTCCTAGCAGTTATTCTGAATAAATTTATTTGATAAGAATGTTTTTCAAATGTGTTCTGAATTGAATTACTGGAATGCAGGAAAAGTTCTCTAAAAAATGAATTAACCACTCAAAGCCACTTTATCATCTATGTAGGATATAATGTATAACACAATTCTAAATACAAATTTCAATGACAGACTAATTTGCCCTTTAAAATGGAACACTATCCTATACAATAAAAGCCTAAAATGCAAAATGTCCACTTGACCGAGAGTTTGACTGGGAGTTCAACAGCTTGCTATGACGTGCGCTGGCCACAAGGGTGTGGCATGGAACATGGTGGGCGTAGGCAATGCCACGCTGGCATTGCCGGCCCCGAAGGGTCCTAATGAGCGCAGGATGGTAGAGCAGTTAAGTGGGCGGCGCCAAGCCAAAAGCGGTTCAAACGGGGCCCAATCACCCTGCAGACAGCAACCAGCAGCAGCAGGACAGCCACCTGGCTCCCAGGTGATGAGGGAGCTGGGCTGGGGGGCTCATGACTCAGGGGGAGGTGGGTGTGCAGGGGTTGGGGCAGGTGCTGCCTAGTGCCCAGAGGTTAGCTGGGACCTGCCCTTCCACGCCGGATGCTCACACTTTGATTGTTGACCAGGCCTAGGGACCACACCTGTGCACGAATTTTGTGCACCAGGCCTCTAGTAATTCCACAAATGTGGGTCCGAAGTAAAAAAAAAAAAAATTAAGGCTTTTATTTATAACGTGGTAAGACCCAAATTTCTGTAATCCCATCCACAATCCTCACTTTTCCAATGAATTAAACTAAATTTTTATTAGGAAGCCACTAATTTTAGTTAAGAAGTTCAAAATAAACTGGTAAAGAGGAAAGTCAGAGACATGCAAATTATGAATAAAGATAACAAATAAACAAATATGAAATTAAAAAGTACAGTTCACTTACTGCAACACTCTGAGGTTTTACTACTGGTGGCCCAGGTAGTTCTTCTGAGTCTGGATGGTTCCAATGTCTGGCATTATACACAGCTTTTGTAGGAGACTATAGAAATGAGAAAAAGGTCAACTGTTTCCATATTTTGCATCCTTATGAAACTGTCTTATTTCATAAAATAAAAGTCATAATGAATAATTTAAATGCATAAACATATACCCTAGACCAGCTGTCACCAACTTTTTGGACCTCACGGACAATCAGTGGTCCACGGACTACTGGTTGGCAACCACTGCCTTTGAGCAGATAAACAGTATCTAGCTCATATTCCCACTATGTACCCATGCCTATGGCAGACATGGAGTCACTGTGACATTCTCCCATGAAACTGATCATCAGTGCTCTAGAGGACAACTATTAACAATCAAGATAATCCTACCTAATAAAATGAAAATATGCAAATTAACAATCAAGACAAGGAGAAGTAAACCTCTTGTCAGGCTTGTGCTAACTTATTAATCAATGTAATTAATTCAATATGTTCTTTATTCCTCATGCTACTGATTCATGCCCCACATTCTTCCAACCATAGAAATGGGACAGGATAAGTGATAAAGGCCTATATTCATTTAAGTGAAACTCAGGGTCAGATGAGTGCCATCATTCAAAAGTTTTCAAATTTTATAAAGGTAAATATTGTACATACGCCTGGTATAAAAACAGAGAGAGGTCTAAAGCAGTACTATGTAATAACATCCATGATTTCTACTGCAAAATTTATACATATTTACACTAAATAGGATATTGCCCCAACTCAGTTTAGGGTACTTTACTGGCAAATCAATTTACTATAAACAAGGAAAAAAAAACTTTCAGTTTAACATTCTTTATTTCAGAATTGAGAATAAAGAACTGTGAACCTGTATAATCAAATCCAAAGGATAAAACCTGTATAAAATGAACATATCAATTATTCCAAAGGAAACTGATTAAAGACCAACATTTTGTTCATCCTTTATAAATGTTAAATTTTGATCTTTAACCTTCAAATAAGTGGTTTTAATTTCGTTAGAGATTAAAGGATTATGATGATTTATGTGTTTATAGTACTAATACAAAAATAAGAGTACAAGAGGAGAAACATACAAGATTGGCCAAAAATCTACATAAAAATATTACCCATCTTCCCTTACAAGCTGCAATGAACTAACATAATTGAAATTAAGCATCAGACAAAGTTATCATTTTATACAAATACTAGAGGCCCAGTGCACGAAATTCATGCAGCGGGGGAAAGGGGATGGTGGTGTCCCTCAGCCCAGTCTGCACCTTCTCCAATCTGGGATCCCTCTCACAACCCAGGACTGCTGGCTCCCAACTGCCTGCCTTCCTGCCTTCCTGATTGCCCCTAACCACTTCTGCCTGCCAGCCTGATCACCCCCTAACCACTCTCCTGTCAGCCTGATTGATACCTAACTGCTCCCCTGCCAGCATGTTTGCCCTTAACTGCCCGCCCTTGCAGGCCTGGGTCCCTCCCAACTGCCCTTCCCTACAGGCCTGGTCCCTCTCAACTGCTCTCCCTTGCAGGTCTGGTCCCTCTCAACTGCCCTCCCCTGTGGTAGCCATCTTGTGTCCACATGCGGGCAGGATCTTTGACAAGGGGGCAGCTATTGTGTGTTGGAGTGATGGTCAATCTGCATCTTACTCTTTTATTAGGATAGAGGCCTGGTGCATGGGTGGGGGCCAGTTGGTTTGCCCCGAAGGGTGTCCTGGATCAGAGTGGAGGTTCCCTTGGGGCTTGGGGCGGCCTGGGTGAGGGGCCTGTGGTGGTTTGCAGGCTGGCCACACGCCCCCGGTGACCCAAGTGGAGGCCCTGGTATCTGGGGTTTATTTATATTCTACAATTTGAACTTTGTAGCCTGGAGTGGAGCCAAGCCTCCTGCTCACTCCATGGCTGTTTCCATTTCTGTTTGGATTTGTTTACCTTCTGTAATTGAAACTTTGTAGCCTTGAGGGAGGCTTAGGCCAGCTAGGGCAGGTGGAAAGCTTGGCTTCTTCTGTTGCCTGGGAAACCCAAGCCTCCCTCCTGCTCTCTGTGACTGTAGCCATCTTGGTTGGATTTATTTGCATACTTGCTCTGATTGGCTGATGGGCATGGCTGGTGGTTGTAGCAGAGTGGTGGTTAATTTGCATATTACAGCACTCTTTTATTAGGTAGGATTATCTTCAAATTAACCATGTTATAACATCAAGATTGCAGTGTAGCCAAAACCGGTTTGGCGCAGTGGATAGAGCGTCAGCCTGCGGACCAAAAGGTCCTGGGTTCAATTCCGGTCAAGGGCATGTACCTTGGTTGTGGGCACATCCCCAGTATGAGATGTGCAAGAGGCAGCTGATCGATGATTCTCTCTATCCCTCTCTCTTCCTCTTTGTAAAAAAAATCAATAAAATATATATTTTAAATATAAAAAAAAAAAAAAAGATTGCAGTGTAAACTCCATAAGAACTGTCTGCTTTTTAAGAGTTTTTTCTTGGGTTTTTTTTTTTTTTTTTAAGAGAGAAAGGGGAAAGGAGAGGATGATCTGCTGCCTCCTACTACATGTTCCCTATGGAGAACTGAGTCATCTGGACATGAACCATGACTGGGAAGCAAGCCGGCAACCGTTCAGTGCTCAGGACAATGCCCAACCAACTGAGCCACACTAGCCAGGGCAACAACTGGTTTTTAAAAGATAAAGCTTAAATTGATTCACATATTAAATGTGTTAGAAGATCTGCCGAGACCGGTTTGGCTCAATGGATAGAGCGTCGGCTTGGGGACTAAAGGGTCCCGGGTTTGATTCCGGTCAAGGGCATGTACCTTGATTGCGGGCATATCCCCAGTAGGGGGTGTGCAAGAGGCAGCTGATCAATGACTCTCTCTTATCGATGTTTCTAACTCTATCTCTCTCCCTTCCTCTATGTGAAAAATCAATAAAATATATATATTTTTAAATGTGTTAAAAAATCTTAATGTTAAAAGAAATTCTACTATGAAACTTACATCAAGTAGAAAGTCTCTCATTTATAAACAGACCAATTATTCTTATGTAACATGTTTGTATAAAGTGATGGTGCTTTGATAATCTAAAAAGCAGTTTATGTACTCACACAATGACTTAACTAGGCTTCTTGAGACACAACAACATAGGCACTCAAGCATCCACCATATAATATGCTACTCGTTTAAACAACCTCTAATACACAAACCACTGACCTGTGGAAAGAATAGGTACTTCAAAACTCAAAAACTTTCCTTTTAAAACTCACTGATTTCAGCTCAGTTAGTAGGAGTGTCGTCCTTAGCATCAAAAAGGTTGCAGGCTCAATCACTGGTTGGGGCACATATGGAAGGCAATTGGTCGATGTTTCCCTCACATTGACATTTCTTTTTCTCTCTCCCTTTCTCTCTCTAAAAATCAATAAAAACATATATTTAAACATGAATGAGTGAATGAATGAATGAATGAATGAATGAAATGACATGATTGTCACTGAATAAATGAGTAAATTCTTGATACTGTAGGATTCACAGTTTGTCTGGTTTGTGTTGACAACAACCGTACTACCGTACTGTATACAGGTAATAAATTTCCTTTATTTTCATTTAACAATAAATGTGTACCGTATTCTTCTTCATGGAAAAATAAGACATCCCCTGAAAATAAGATCTAGCGCATCTTTGGGAGCAAAAATTAATATAAGACACTGTCTTGTTTTCGGGGAAACAGGGTAATACTGTATGGTATATTAAGAGTTTCTTAAGAGGGCATATCTCATGTTGTGGTTTTAACCATAATGAAAGATTTTTCAAAAAGCCCTTGAAAACTAGCTATGTAGATAATAACTGAAAATTTTATATTAAAAGGACACATTCAACCCTGGTGTGGCACAGTAGTTGAGCATTGACGTATACCTAGGAGGTCACATGCCCAGGTTGCAGGTTCAATTCTCAGTATGGGGCGAACAGAAGGCAGCAGATTAACGATTCTCAATTATTACTGATATCTATCTTCCCCTCACCCCCATCTCTCTCCCTCTCTCTCCTTCCTCTTTAAATCAATAAAAGTATTTTTTTAAACTTGGGTTTATTAATAGGGTTTACTATAGGAAGGAGGAGGAAATGAAGATACACCCTGCTTTCTAAAAATTAGTGAGATAAACAACATCTGAATGTAATTATTACACACTGTGGGGAGAGGAACCAAAGTGCATGACAATGACTGACTTTGAGGTCTTCAAATGATTCCAAAATGATATAATTCACATACACTGAAATGATTTGTATCTGAAAATTATACAACACGACATCACATGCTAATGTCACTCAGTAAAAGTGACTGTGTACAGTATCTGCAAAAAATATAACCAACTTTTCATGGAAAATGAAAGTCATCCTTACCATACCATTTAGCAACCTAGCTAAGTTTTATCTGGATCATTCTGACTGCACCACCAGGCTCATCTTTAATCTTGTTAATTTTATTCTGGTTTGTGAAGCAGACATGTCATATTAACCAGATTCCTCAACTTTTCTCTGTTAAAATATCTGTGAATTGTTTATTTAGAATAAATTAAGTAGAAAGCTCTTTAGGAATATTCTAAGATTGAAATCATTTTAATATACAGTTCAGTTCTAGTGATCTTAAATATATTATTCTTTACTATTCAATTATCACAACAACAAATAAAGAGAACCTCAAATGTAACACATTATTACAGTGAAGAAAAAATATGCCAAAAACAGGCCTATGAAGGAATAATATATTCATAAGAGAGAATCCAGTTTCTATCAAGATAATGGATAAAAATCTGTTTTTACAATTATAATGCCAAGGCTATGGTTAAACAGAATGGTGTGTTGAGTCACAATTATAAAGCAGAGGAAAGAAAAGTTCCTTCATGAAAAGCTAAGATGCTAAGAAGAAATGACAGTATTATGCTATCCTTCATTAAACTGGTTCCCAAAAGGGAAAAAAATTAGAATAACTGCCTTTAAGTCATATGAACTTTTAAAACAGTACCCGAGTTTTCATTTTTTTTTTTAAATATATTTTATTGAGTTTTTA